TGTGTGTGTGTGTGTGTGTGTGTGTGTGTGTGTGGCCAGCTCAGCCCACCAGGGGGCGGGCCGGCTGGCATGTGGTGCTGGGGGATCGAACCGCGGTCCCTGGGCTCTGCTAAGCTTGTTCTAAGTAGGTGCTTTAGACCACTGAGCCATCTCACCAGCCCATAATTTTATCTTTTAAAACCAGTGGGGGCTGGGGAGATGGCGCAGGAAAATAAGTGCTTTTCTGGCAAGTGCAAGGGCCTGAGTTCAATCCCCGGTTCCGCCAAAGAAAAAATAAAAATAAAAAAAATTAAAACCAGTGGTTCGGGCCGGCCAAATAGCTCAGCAGATTAAAGCACTTACGAGCAGGTGCAGGGGTTGAGGGTTCGATCCCTGGGCCCACCGCACTAGCTGCCACCCCCTCCACCCGGGTGCGCTGAGACAGCAACTGAGACTGGGCGTGGTGGCACATGCCTGTAATCCCAGCTCTTGGGAGGCTGTAAACAGGCGGATCACTACAAGTTCAATCTAGTACTGAGACTCTGAACACCCTGTAGGCCCTTCCCTAAAAATACAAAATAAATAAATAAAACCAATGGTACATGGGCCGGGGAAACAGCCTCGCAGCATAAGTGTTTGTTTGGCAAGCGCAAGGTCCCAAGTTCAATCCCCAGTACTGCCAACAAACCCAAAAACACAAACAGTGGTAAACGCTAAGGATGTGGCTCAGGTGCACAAATATCCACCTTGCAAACATAAAATTCCGAGTTTGAGTCCTACTGCCAAAAAAAGATGTGAGGAAAAGGGGTAAAATGCAAATCCAAAAATCTCCCACCAAGCCACCCCTGGTGTAGTCTGGGCATTAGCACAGCCCCAGTGCGGGTGGCCACTACACCAACCCCAGTGCTTCCTTCCACTTTCCAGGGGGATACTGTCCCCAGTGCTCCTGTCACCAGCCTACATGAAGCCTTACATGCGTGTGTGCCGTGTGTGTGTGCAGCCGGGGCTCCTTGTGTGTGTAGGAACACGTACCTTGCGGTCCTCTGTAGGCTCCAGATCCGCCTGAGCCCCAGCTGGCACGTGCCCCCCACTGCCATCTGCAAGCTTCGGCTCCTCCGCATCTGTGAGAGTGGGCAGGGGCCGTCATCACATGCCTGATGCTGGGGGGTCCTTTCCCACAGCTCAGGGGAGCAGTCCAGGGGAGCCTGGAGCTGCCAAGCACCTGTATGGACCTTCAACTCTGAGGCCCTGTGGACAGTCACTCCCAAAAGAGACCTGGCAGGTCACCGAGACTGGGTGGAGGGTGGGGCACACAGCCTGATCTGCTGCTCCTACCTGGGTTTGGTACAAACAAGTTAGGAGGGATCGGAAGTGGGGCGAGTGGAGCAAAAAAATCTGCGGGAGCGAGGGCTGGCTCAGTCCGCTGCGTCCCCCCTGGGTTTAAGACATCCACGTAGCGAGCTCTGGATCCGCCTGCCAGAGGAGGGGTACATTCACCAGCTGCTTTTCCCAGGACAGGGCCCACCCACTCCAGGTTCCCGGGCTGTGATCCTGAGGGACAGGATGCTCCTGTGCCTGCAGACCAGCGACACAGATGCAGTCGCCGGACGCTGGCCTGGGGCTTTGCCCCCACCAGCCTGCTCGCCCTCAGCCCCTGCCCTGGCCTTGGGGCACCCTGACCCCTGCCTGGGTGGCTTTACCTGCTTTCCTGGAAAACACGTTTATAGAGGATGCGGGAGGCCCGGGAGGCCCACCGAGCCCAGGGGGAGCCCCCTGCGGGGCCCTGGGGAACGCCATGGGGGGCGGAGGTGGAGCCTTCTTCTGCGGAGAGAGAGATGGCTCAGGGACTGGGCCTCCAGTGCCGGGAAATACCAGGGCTCCCCAAGAGGGGCCCTGAAATATGCCGGCAGCAAACACCTGAAGCTACAACATACCTCCTCCTCTGGCTCGTTTAAGTTCACCCACTGGTTTCTCTTTTCATCCCAAACAATCTGCCAAGATTTGAAAAAGAAAGTGGGGCTGAAGCCAACAGAATCTAAGTCTGGTGAAGGATGTTCGCTTGGGTCTGCTCTGACCCCGAGCGCCAGGACAGGCAGGGCTGCGCCTCAGGACACTCACCGATTTGTTCTTGTCATCTGGCAGGTATGCTTCTGTCCTCTTCTTCCCAGGGAGCCAGCGAGAGAACCAGGACTCACTCTAAACAGAAAGCCACCACCCCACTGAGCACCGTGCTTGGGGACAAGGACCCAGAGCGCCAGGTCTGAGCTAGAGCCTAGCGGTCACACAGGCACATCCACCTGGGAAGGGGAACGGCTCCAGAGCCGGTGTGGGGTCAGCTGCACAGCGTGTGGCTCTCGCGCTCTGCACTGGAGTCCGAGCAGCAGAGGCCCAGCGTGTTTTCTTTCTGCGGGGAGAGGACCTCACCCTCGCCAGGCAGGCACTGCGCCACTAAGCCACATACCAGTGAGGCTGCCACACCAGCAGCTGGGTGACTTCCAGGCTCGTACACGTCCCCCCCACCCCTCCTGACCAGGAGGGACAAACACACTCCAGCTGCTGCGCCAGCACCCCTGCCTGTGGCTGGCACACTCCTCCACGGAGAAGCTCTGAGGCCCATTTGCCCCGGCGCCAGAGCGCCTCACCTCTTCCCTAGCTGCCTCTTCTGCCTGCTGCCCTGAGGGGCCCTGCTCTACCTTCTTGGCTTCTTTGGTCTCTTTCCTGACTGCCGGGGCTGCTCTCTTGGCTTCAGGAACAGGTGTCAGAGGCAGAGAAGGCTGCGGCGATACTGAGCCAGCGCTGTCCCAGGCTGGGGGCGTCTCCAGATCCTGTGCTGCCTTCAGGGAGCCCTGTCCCAAAACAGCATGGAGCTGGCTCTCCTGATGCTCTGCAAGAGGAAGGGCGGCAGGGCGGGGGGCGCTCCCCAGGTCCCCGAGAGCAGCAGAGGGGGGCGGTGAGGGCAAAGGACGGGCGCCGTCACAGCTACCCCACAGCTCCCACCAGGAGCATCGTGGTGCTGAGGGTAAACACCCAGGCACTAGGAGGGTGTCGCCAGGCAGGAGACGGAGAGCAGAAGGTGGGATGGGCAGTGAGATCTGAAAGGAAGACTGAGGGCTGGCAAGATAACACAGCCAACTGAGCACTTGCTTAGGCAAGCGCAGGGACCAGGGTTCAACCCCCAGCAGCACATGCAGCGCTGACCCTGCCAACCCCCAGCAGCACATGCAGCGCTGACCCTGCTCCTGGGCACATTCACAGGGCCACGGAGACTGGGCATGGTGGTGCACGCGCCTAATCCCAGCAACAAGAGAAGCTGAAAACAGGAGGATCACTACCAAGCTGCAGAGTGAGACTCTGCACCAGATACGTTAATAAAATTGAGGGAAAAAAAGAAGGAAGACTAGGGGTCGGGGAGATGACTCAGTAGGAAAAGCGCTTCCCTGGCAAGCGCAAGGGTCTGAGTTCAATCCCCGGTTCTGCAAAAAAAAAAAAAAAAAAAAAAAGAAGGAAGACTAGACTGGGTGTGGTGACACACGCCTGTCATCCCAGCTCTTGGGAGGCTGAACACAGGCCAAGTCTGATCTACACAGGGAGACCCTATAGACTCTGTACTAAAATACAAAAAGAAAGAAAGACAGACTGGAGGGTGCGAGCATCCAGAGGCTCTGTGAAAGCTGTCACTCCTGGTGATGGCACTGCTGTCAACACTTAGATGTGGGCATGGGCAGGGTACCTGAAGCCACGCACTCAAGGCCCCTCCTCACCAGGGCTGCACCTGTGGACGCGTGTCCACTGACAGCGTCGGCCCAAACGCATCTGCGCAAAGGAGCTGCAGCTCAGGACGCGCCGTGCGGAGGGCTTCTGGAGAAGCGGTGCCAGGATCGGGCAGGGTCTCCACCCAGAAGATAAGGTGACTCCGCATTCGCTCAGCTCTTTCACCCCGTTAAAGAGAGCTGCTTTTTCACAACTGAGAACTCTTCCATTTTCTTCTATCAACGTTTTCACTAACTCTGTACTTTAAGATTAAAGCGATTTTAAGAAAGTAAAAGCTGAGGGGCTGGGGAGGCGGCTCAGCAGAATAAGCGCTTGCCTGGCAAGCACAAGGGCCTGAGTTCAATCCCCAGTTCCGGGAAAAAAAAAAAAAAGTAAAAGCCAATTCCATACCCTTCATTATCTCACTCCTCACAAGTGAAGAACCTGCCTACTCCATCAACTTTCCAGAAAGCATGGTTTTAAAAAGAAGTGGTCAAGTACCAGATTAGCAAAATTTCCGCCCAAATCCTCTTCACTTGGCTCAGGCAGTGAGGTGCTGGCAGGTGACTCCTGTGGTGCCATCCCTGCCAACACAGGAGAGAGTGGCCGTGACTCCATAGCTCCTCGTGGAGCGGGAGGGGCGGGGTACCACGCCGCAGCAGCTGGCCGGTGGCCCAGCCGGAAGCCTCGCTGAGGTTTCCCAGGCATTCAAATATTTTGCTTTAAGGCCAGACCGTGATTCCCCTTGTTCACACAGATGCAGAGAGGCAGATGAGACCAGGGCAGAAGCCCGTCCCTCCGCCCTGCTATGCACAGGAGCTCAGGAGGACGGCCTGTGGGCAGAGCCAGCACAGGTCCGAGACTATTTCAGCACGCCCTAAATGGCCATGACACTTCCCGGCATTACAAACCAGCCCAGCTGGGACTTCTAGAACCTCTAGTCTACACAGTCTCTGCCCCTGGTTACCCACGGAGCCAAATCCAGCCTAGCTCTGCCCTTGGGACAACACCTTGCAGACACACCTGGTTCTGGGCTCCGGGCCTGCACCAGGGGGCCACTGTCCTGCAGAGATGGGGCACCAGGTGGCAGGCCTGGCCCTGGGTACAGAGCCACAGGGTCAGGCCTGGGAGGCTCTGGGAATCCAAGTGCAGATCCTGGGGTTCCATAGCCGGGACCTGGGTCCAGAGTGCTCAAGGGTGGTGGCACCGGGAACATCGGCACCCTAGCAGGGTGGGGCAGCTGGCCACCAGGGAGGGTCTGTAAGGCTATGGGGACAGCAAGGAGAAGGCAAAGTCATGGGGGACGAAGGAGCTGAAGGGCACAACGCAGACAGCACATCTCCCCGAGACTGCAGCCACGCCCTGCCTGGGGTGGCCGAGGACACCTTCTGCCAGTGGGGTACAGTGAAAGCATGCTTGCTTCCTGGCTGATGCAGGCCACCGGGCGCACAGCCCTGCCGGTTCGCCAACTCCCTCTCCCAGCACTAGAGTCACAGGTACCCAAGGCACTGATGCACCCGCCCACCCAATCCATGAGCACATGCTGGATGCCACCTGCACGTGACAGAAGAGTGCCAGGCAGAGCAGTGTGCGTGAGGCCCCAGCTGCTGGAGACGCTGAGCTGGGAAGACCACTTGGGCCTGAGAGCTTGAGGCCGGCACAGGAACGAGTCCCAGTCTCAACAAGACAAAACAGTCCTAATGGGGGGATGAACCCAGAAAACAGACGAAGGAAGCACTGGCAGAGCACACTGTGGCCAGGCGTCTGCAGGCGGAGTCGCCGGTATCTGACTGGGAGGGGCCTGGCTCAGGGTGTGGCTGGACACTGGGCTAGGGGTCAGCACAGGACAGAAAAGGCGCTCACCAGGCCAGGAAGCGGCGTGGGGTGCAAGTGAAGGGAACAGGGCAGTTTCTCCAGAGACAAGGCGGGCAAGGGGAAGCCGAGAGGGCAAGGTAGGGGCCCTGTTGTGCCACGGGAAGCATGAGGCTGAGAGGCGGCCTGAGCTCAGGGTCTGGCCTGGTGGACTGGCACCACTGACGGCCAGTGTCAAGACCAAGGACAAAAGCAGACAGCAAGAAGGCCAAGGGGCCCCCACACACCCCTGGCCCAGTGTCTCCATTCTCCAGGCAGACAGACAAAAGCAGACCTTGAGGGCAGCCTGGGCCGCCACAGGACCCACCTGAGGGTGGCGGCTGCCCGCCTGCACTCGGGCACTCTGGGCCAGGCAGCACGGAGGGCTCAGCCCCCAGCCCCACCAGCTGGCCGAGCCTGGGGCCGTCCGCCTGCTCCACTTCAGAACCCGGCGTGCTGGGACACTGCCAGGGGTTGGCTCCGTCCTGGCTGTAAGGCACAGTGCCCTCCTAAGGAAGGACAGACAATCACTGCGGACAGGCTGCTGCCACCAGCACCTGAGCCCTGCTTCAGGAGAAAGGCAGCCACCCAATGCGTCACACACGCACGCGCGCGCGCGCACACACACACACACACACGAGGTTACATCCTGGAGATCAAATACCTTCTAGGTGGAAAGAGGGCGCAAAGCCGGGCCACACGCCCTGGCCGGGCCCGGGCCCTACCTGGATCTGCCTGTGCACGTGCCGCAGCTGGACCAGCCACGTGGGCTCCACGAAGGACTCCTCCTCTGGCTTCTCTTTCAGCTGAGGGTCAAAGAGGCGCAGCTGGGAAGCCACCTGGAAGCCCCCAAACAGAGCCCCAGTTACTGCCTGGCAACACGAGGAAGGTTGTTCCATAATGTCGTCCTCTAGTCCTGCAGAGCGGGAACCAGGTGCTCCTGGGCAATGAGATGCTGGGTGACCAGAGGAGCCAGCGTGGAGAGCTCCACGCACACGTGCCTCCTGGCCCCACACTCAGCTGGCGAGGAGGGGCGTGTGCTCTGATGGCACCTGGGGATGCGGCAGTACATATGACACAGGTCTAGCATGTTCTAATACCTGCTGGAGGCATGGACTTGGATGTTCATTGATTACCCTGTACTTCTACGTAGATCTAGATTTTCACGTCAAACTTTCACACTTAGTGCACGCTACATGCTCAAAAGTGGCGCTACTAGGGGAGAGGAACACCTGACACGTCTGGGGCTGGTGGCCAGCGCGGCTGGTCATATGTTCCCATTAAACAGGTGAGAAGAAACCAGGACCCAAATCTCTTGAGCTCCACACTAAATGGCCCAGGTGCGAACGACACAGGGTCCTTCTGATGTTGCGACGCACCGCTGAGTTGTACCAGCGTGACATACCTGTTATGCTAAGACTGCAAAACACAGACTGTCTGCCCTGGGCATTTAGTGACCCAAAGGGTCTGGGCACCTGCTCGAGCCTGCTCTGGCGGTGACCCTGACCCATGCCTGCAACCTGGATCCATGCTCCCTGCCACCGGCAAGGTCGCCGTGGTGGGGGCACCGAACCCACCTGGACCAGCTGGCCGAGAAGCACGGGCGAGTAGGCGTCAGGCCGCGCCAGGATGCTCTTGGCGATCGCCTCGCAGTAGTGGAAGGCCTGGATAGCAAGTCCCATCTCGGCCAGGCGACAGGAGTAGATGAACTTAAACACCTGCAGCAGGGCACAGGGCTGAGCTCTCCAGGGCTCTGCTACCCCTCCCAACAAGGCCCTGTAAGCTGTGACCTGCTCACCACCTGCCACTGTCACCGCCCCACGCCTGCCACCCACAGTACTGGTCAGGCGGCATGCTTCCAGACAGTGTGAGGTGGACGCGGCTGAGCTCCTGGGAAACACGCCTGCCCCCCTGCACCAGCCCTTCGCAGCTTTGTGGTGCTGCTCCTGTCGTGGTCCCGGGCTGAACTACTGCCTCGACACGCTGTGCTAGCCCCACCTCTCAGCTGCATCTGCAGGCCTCTTCTGTTTTGCTGTCGGCAGGCCTGCCTCGGCCTCCTGCAGGGCCAGAACCGAGGTGTGTGCCACCACACAGCCACACCGGGCCCTCACGCTGTTTCCTGAGCACTGTGAGCCGACTGCCTCCCCAGGCAGAGGCCCCACAGCTGTCAGTGCTGCGCTGCCCCCACCCACTTTGGAAGGCTGCAGCCACGTCCTCCAGTTTACCTGGAAGTTAGGCAAGGAGCAGGTCTGGGCCCCAAGGGACTGCGCATACTCATAGGCTTCCGTCCGCTGAATAGCTTCATTGGTGGCAAACTTCAAAAATGGCAAGCTGTTGGGAAGTGAATCATTCACAAGTGGCCAGTTACTGGCACCACCAGCCTTGGAGCAACTCACCAGGAGTGGTCCCACCATGTGACAAAGGCGGGCAAAAGGCCAGCCATTTCTGCAAGAATTACAGCCCAGGGACCTGGCCCTTCTTAAAACAAAGCAGACACTGCTGCTGCTACCTCACCTGTGATTTGATCCAATCAGGACGAGCTTCGTGGTTTTCTTTGTGTACACCCCGAACCCCACCTGGGCCATGAGGTAGCAGAAGTGAGCAGCATCCAGGAGGCCTTTGGAGGCTGGGGAAAGAGCAGCTGACTCAGCCCCAGGAAAGGGCTGGAGCGGCCGGGTGCGCGGGAAGCAACGCCGCAGCCGCGGCGCTCTCGGGACAGCCCCTGCAGCCCTTCCGCAGCCGCCCCATGCCGACCCACCTAGGGTATCGCCCATTGTGGCCATGGTCCGGGACTCCACGTCCACGTTGTTGCTCAGGTTGGACAGAACCATGGCAAGGTGTGGCCTCCAGTCCCCCCACTTCTCATCTCCACAACACTGCAATCGAAGACACAGAAGCAAGCCCTCACCCAGAGCTCGAGCGGCCCCAACGCTGGGCCCAAAACAAAGCAGGAGGGCGGCGTGGGCCTCAGAGCCTGAGGACGCGGGCACTCACCGTGGATGCGGCAGGCATGCGCCCAGACATGAGCTGGTAAACGGTCTGCAGGGGGTCATTGATGGGAAGGCTGTTGGCGAACCTGGGCAGACGGAATGGTGAGACCTGACTCCAGGGACTTCGAGGGAGCGGCCTGCCGAGCCCCTGCCGAGCCCCCGCGAGTTCATTTAATCACCATACAAACCCTTAACCTCAGCAAGCACATCTGCACCTAGGAAAGCTCTGAAGGGTGGGGGAGGAGCTGCTGAGGCTTAACAGAACATATGAAGAACAGTTCTAAGAAATTTTAAAATCCCTCTCTGGTACAAGGTGAATAGGCACAAGCTGGATAGGCCACACAGGCCTAGAAGCCGCCTCTGACGGCGGGCGCACCCACACCTCAGCTGCATGCGGAGCCCCCACCTGGTCATGACGCGCGCGTGGGTCCGGCTGTCCATCTTGCTGGCCAGGAGCAGAGCATGGCCCCACAGGCCATTCTTCATGGCAGACTCCAACGCATCCTGCGAAGGAGTTCAGGGCTCACGTGAGCCACCTGTCAGTCTGCGCTGCTGCAGCAGCAGGCAGCGTGACATGTATGCCCGCAGAGGATTACGGAAACGCCACTGTTCCTCACTGGCCTCGTTCCTAAGCCCCAGGGAATATCACTTAAGCCCAGGAGTTTAAGGCCCCTTGGGCACCACAAAACAATCCCACCTCAAAAACACAACTATCGGGCCGGCCAGATAGCTCAGTGGACTATAATGCCTGCTTAGGCAGAGTGCAGCGGCCGCAGTTCAATCCCCGGCCTGCTGTGCCTGCCCCACCCCTGGGGCGCACCAAGCCAGTGACTGAGACTGGGTATGGTGACGTGCGTGCCTATGACCCCGGTGCTCGGGAGGCTGAAAACAGGAGGACCACTCCGAGTCTAATCAGTGTGGAGACCCTGTAGACCCTGCACTAAATACATCAAACCCCGCAACTATCCAAGTTGGGGCTAGTAGCAACAGAACGACGTCCTACCCCACCACAGACATGAAACGAGATCTCAGCTTTCTAAGTCAGTCATGATACGTGAACAGGGAGCCCCTAGAGCTGGATGCCCCGGCTAGGGCAGCACGGCAGCTCCGCTTCTGTGCAACCCTCCCAGACAGCCTGCAGCCCCAACAGACGGGGGTATGGCCAGAGCACCAACTCGGGCATGCGGCTCCGGGGTCTGGGCCCACCGTTTGCGCTGCAGATTGAGCCTGACCCAGGACAGGCTGGGCTACCTCCTGCACACTGCGCTCAGCTGTCTCGATGTGCTGCAGGACACAGCCTGCAGGGTGGGGTCGGGGACATGACATCTCACCACCTGAGACAGCCAGCCTGGGCCACACAGCCTCCCACACAGGAAGATGTACAATGCAGAGCCATACCGATGCCGCGAAAGGAAGACTGACCTCTGCCCTGCAGGGTGCCCAGCCCCGGCCCAGAGGGAGCAGGTACACTGGCTCCTGCAGGCAGAGACAGTACCTTCTTGCGGCCATAGAGCAGCAGCTCCCGGAACCGCTCAGTCTCCTTCTCCAGGGTGCTGGAGGCAGCTGCCTGACTGTCCATGAGGAACGAGAGCTGGGCTTCGCCAGACTCCTCCTCCGCTTGCTCCACAGGCTCATTGGTAAAATCGATCAGGTTTGCCTCATTGGGCGACTTTCCAGGAAGCCACACTGTTCTATGGTCTCGCAACAAGAGCTCCGCGATGTCTGTTCCCACCACGGTCTGCAGGGTCAACAGGGCCAAGATGGAGACCACCACCAGGGTTTCCTGCAACAGAGCTTCCAGCAGGACAGCGGGACAGGCCGACTGTCACGTGAGGGACCTGACTGGTTTCCAAGCAGGGCACACATCAGGACACCACAGGACCAAAGCTGAACTCTGGGCCCACCTCAGTGCACCCCAGGCCCCATCTCCCTTCCCACCAGTCTCCCCCAGGTGCTGCCACGATGCTGTTCTCATACAGCCCCATCTCGGTGGGCCACAGACAAAGTAAACGCCACTGAAGGCCAGCAGGGAGCAGGGTGATGGAAGCCCAGGGCACGCACCCCATTCTGTCGGCACAACAGGATGATGAAGTTCCAGAGGAGACTTGCAGACTCTTTGTCAAGCAGGTTGTCATTCTGTAAACATTTTGTTGCTTTGTTCTGTGCAAATTTAATGACATCTACTTTGTGGGTGTCGTCTCTGTAAGAAGACCAAACAGGCAGTGAGCACCAATACCACGACCACGGGCCCAGCCTGGCAGCTGCCGCTGAGCCCACACCACAACGCCTCCCTGGGAACTCACCTGCCAAGGGGGCCCGGGAACGCTCGCAGCTCCTCCTGCTCCGGTGTGTGCTGCAGCAGAGTCTGGAATGGCGGGGCACACAACAGAAAGCTTGCAGGACAGCCCGGGAGCCACATGGGGTTGGTGCCCCTCGCACTGTCCCGCAGACTCCAGCAAGGTTTGCAGGTAGGCAGTGAGACCTACACGCTTACTCTTCCCTCAGAACCAAAGCAGGGGCCCCAAACCCTGGGACAGGAGAGCCCCAGGGTAGCCCCGCACAACCTGGCCCCACCACGCTGAAAGTCACCCACAAGTGAACAGCCTCAAAGTTAGGATGCAAACGACAGAAAACTGAGCACAGTAACCATGCCTAACACCCAGCAGCTGCTTGAAACGCAGGCTTCTGGGAGCACAAATCCGCACAAGCACACCAAAACCCTCCACAGGGCACTTCCCAGGAGCCAGTTCCCAGGGACGACGCATGGCGAAGTGAGGGGGACCAGATCACAGGCACAGGCACACGTTACCTCCATGCTGTGGATCTCCACCAGAGCAGGCTGTCCTTCCGAGGGCAGGTTGGGGATCACCTTGATGAGCTGGCCGCCGGGACCAAACCTGGCACAGAGATGTGGCACCGAGAACTTCTCAGGAGACGTGGGTCTGGATGGAACTGTGTTGAGAGAGCACGGACAAGAACGTCGTCACCTCCTAGCACCCTTGCACCTGATCCACAGCTCAGATTTTCCATGCCTGGGTGACGACACAAGCTTGGTCTTAGACTTCAACACCGCCGAAGGCCCCGGGCAGAAAAGGAGATTCTCAGCCTTAAGTGGCCGTGAGAGAAAGGCCAGCAGCTTCACATCTGTAGTTCTGTTCCAAGAGCACCAGGTGAAGCTCTCTGGAAGGGAGGCTAGAACGTGGCACATGGTGCGCCTACTGCAGAGCCTGGTTGACCGTGCACGTGGGGACAGGCTGGCAGCCTCAGATACACAGCTGAACCGTGACAGAGAGAGGAGCGAAGCCAAGCTCCAGGGTCCTAAGACCACAACTGACTGCCCTGCTCTGACCCCAGGCAGGTGGCAGGTGGGGACATACCTTGCTCCACAGCGGGCCAGGCGTCCACAGGATAGCCATACTCAGCGAAGCCATAGGTACCGTAGGCGAAGTCCCCGTGAAAGGAGGCTGGAGGAGGGGGGGCCTCAAAGGAGCCAGCAGCTGCATTGTGGCTTCTGTAGATCTGACTCTTGAAAGAAAAAGCAGGCCCGGGTGGGGGGTGGGGGGCGGGGGTGGGGGTGCGGTTAGCTCCTTGAGGGAGCACGAAGGGCTGGTGAGCGGGCACAGCGCGGGGGCCTCAGGGACGCACCTGATGCGAGTGGGAGCTGAGGCTACTGCGGCGGCTGGGCAGGCTGTGCGCGCTGGGCAGGCTGTGCGCCGAGTGCTCGCTATGCACGCTACGCCTGTCCACCTCCTCCCCGTAGGCATCCCTGTGGGGCTCTGCATCATCATCAAAGCTCCCGGCGAAGCGAGGGTCATACCTCCAGTGGTCATCACCTTTCTCAGGCCTGCAGGGAGCAAGCACCAAGACAGGGAATGGAGTGTGGGGACCCCGAAAGGCACCACTGCAGAGAACCCCCAGCCCCAGGGCCGTCACAGTTCACCCGCACCCAAGGCCCACGGCTGTGCAGAGGAACAGGAGCTGGGCCTCAGTGCATCCCAGGCATGGGAAACCCAGCCCATGGCGCAGCCCCACGACTCAGGATGATCCCCTCTGACGTTGGGGGCAAGAGGGACCTGGTGACTCCCCAAGGCAAGGGTGGCTAGCTTCTCACAGCCCAGAGCTGGCACCCGGAAGGTGTAGGTCAGCTTTCAGGAAGTGACCAGAGCACCCGGTGGGGATGCCAGGGCTCTAGCTGTCTGATAAAGCCCAAGACACGGTATGGAGTGACAGGCACTCCCAGGCACCAACCTGCCGCCGCTGCCACAGGCATAGCTTTCCTTCCCGTGTGGGTCGTACTCGGCGTCGTACCAGTACCTCCGACCCCAGGTGCGGGGATCCCGGAATCGGGAGCCATAGTAGCGGTCCCATCGGCCTGGATCTATGGGTGAGGAATGTGGGGCTCGGTGCTGGTGAACACTGCAGATCCCCACCCTTGGGGCGGGCAGGGAGGAGCCGTGCTGTACAACAGCTGCTGTCCTGTGGGGGCTGCCGGGCTGTTCTCAACACAGATGGCTTGGGTTTAAAAAAAAAAACAAAACCACCCTGGGACAGTGATGGACACCTGGAGCCCCTGCTACTTGGAAGGCTGAGGAAGGGAAGATCCAAGGTTTGAGCTCAGCCTGGGTAACTTAGCAAGTTCCTGCCTCAAAATAGAAGTTAATAGGCTGGGCATGGTGGCAGCATTTGGTAGGATGAGGCTGGAAAATCACTGCACGTTGGAGGCCAGTCTGGGCTACACAGTAAGTCTGAGGCCAGCCTGAACTAAGTACCAAGACCCTGCCTCAAAAGACAAAAAACGAAGCTAACAAAGGGGCTGGGGCTAGAGCTCTGTGGTACCGTGACTGCCCAGCACAAGCAGTCCTGGGTTGAAACTTCAGTTCTGTCCCGAACAAAACCAAACCTGCTAAAAGCCTTATTTTGTTTTTTTTTTTCTTTTTTTGCAGAACCAGGGATTGAACTCAGGCCCTTGCGTTTGCCAGGGAAGCACTTACTCCACTGAGCCATCTCCCCGGCCCTTGTTTTGTTTTTCATAGCTATTAATTTTTCCTGTGGTGTTGGGGACCAACCCAGAGCCCGTCCTCGCTGGACACACACTTGGTCACAGCCTCACATCGCCAGCTTCAGTGACTTTCTAACGATGCACCTCAGCCAAGCGTGCGCAGCTATCATCCCAGTACTGGAGAGGCTGAGGCGGGAGATCAAGCGTTCAAGTCAGCCTGAGAAACTTGGCAAGACTCTGTCTCAAAATAAAAGATTAAAAAGGGCCAAGAATGGGGGCTGGGGAGATGGCTCAGTGGAATAAGCGCTTCCCTGGCAAGCGCAAGGACCTGAGTTCAATCCCCGGTTCCGCAAAAATAAAAAAAATAAAAAAAGGGCCAAGAACATCATTCATTACAGAGGCCTTGGGTTCAACCCTCAGTGCCACACACACGCACAACAGTTAATTCCTCAATCATAAATTTTACTAATATCCCCTTTCTATGATCTTACAGATTTTAACAAATTAATTTTAACATTAAAAAATAAGGTTTTGGCTTTTTTTTTTGAGACAGGATCTCTCCATGTAGTCCAGGCTGTCCCTGAATCATGCCCTCCTGCCTGAGCCTCCGAAGGTGCCAGGGATGTGCCAACACAGCCAGCTACCGCAAAGTCTGAAGAGGAGCGTGACTGCCTCGAGCGAGCTGGACAGGCCACTTCTGGGAAGGCTCTACTCGCAACAGGGGCCAACGTTCAGCAGGAAAGAGCCAGGCGGGGTTGCTGTGGGACTCCGGGCTCCTCCGGGACACGGCTATCTGCAGCCCATGCGAGGGCAGCAGGTATGGAAAGCCCGCGAAGTCCTGGCAATGTCTCACACTGGCAGTGGGCAGGCAGTGTGACCAGAAGGCGGCTTTTCACCAGGCCACACCTGAGCGGCTCTGGAGCAGACTACCATGCAACAGTCTAGAGGTCACAGCTCACGGGCAGTGTCAACTGACGTTGCTCTCACCGCTGGCTCACCAAGGCGGAACGGCAGGGCGTGGCACCAGGGAACGCACAAGGCCGGGAAGGCGAGCCGCGCACACGCCGCGTGCCCACGGGCCAGCTCTGGGCACACCTGCTGGCAGCGCACGCTGAACGTACCTCCGTAGTCGTACTGGCCAGAGTAGTAGTTCGCATAGTAATCGCTCTGGCTGCTCCATCCACTCTTGGAACTATAGTACCCTTCAGGATACCCGTGCCTGAAAAGCACACGGAGCTGTTAAGCACACAGTACGCTTTTTTTCTATTGGTCTTTTTGTCACAGGTTCTCACTCTGCAGTGCACGCTGGCCTTGAGCTCACAAGTGGCCCAGGCTGGTCTCCCAGTCCTGCCTCAGCCTCCCAAGTGCTGGCCTCACAGGTGTGGCCACCATGCTTGGCAATCCCTTTCTTCAAGGATAAAAAAAGACATTCACATACAGACTACAAACTACACTCACAGCAGAAGGGATTCATCAAAGCACCTGAAACTCAGGAAAAACTCTAATCAGAAAACACAAAGCTGGCCAGGTGCTGTGGTACACACCTGTAATTCCAGCTAATGGGGGTTACAGCAGGATTACAAGTTTCAGGCCAACCTTGGCCACTTATGAGACTGTCTCAAAAACTAAAAGTTCAGAGGTACAACAGTGCCTCTGGGCTCAGCCTTCACTACCTCCTCCCAAAGGAAATCCAAAGCGGTAACAAGGATGAGGTCATGAATTCCCACCACAACGCTAACGGAAGTTAGCTCGGCAAAATCCCTGCATGAGGCTGCCAGAAGTGAGCTTATGGACCGGCCAGATAGCTCAGCAGATTAAAGCCTCCACTTAGGCAGATGCAGGAACAGGGGCATGCATGCAGTGAGACCCGGTAGACCCTATCCTGAAATACAAAAAATAAAAACACAGGTATATATACATACATATACATACAAATACATTTTTAATATTTATTTATTTTGTATTTTAGGGAAGGGACTACAAGATGTCCAGCGCCATCCCCATGTGCCCCAGCAGGTCACAGCCCTGCTTCTCACTACTAGATTGTACTCAGTGATCCACCTGTGTACAGCCTCCCAGGTGCTGGGATTACAGGCGGGCACCACCATGCCCAGTCTCAAATGCCATTTCAGCAAGCCCTGTGGGCCAGGCCACCACAGCAGGCCCAGGGATCGAACCCCCGGCCCCTGTGTCCGCTTGCAGGCGCTTTGATCTGCTGAGCTATTTGGCCGGCCCTCCACTTTTTTTTTTTTTTTTTAAAGAAGCGAGCTGACCCTTCTGGTGTGCAGTGTCACATTCCACAAAAACACTTCTGATTTGCTCAGCAGGAGGAAGCACCCAGGCTATGACTCGGAAACTCCCACGACAACAGCCGTGTGCGTGCCCAGCTGGTTCTGGAGTGCCCAGGAGAGGGTCAGCACACAATCCAAAAGCAGGCCCGGGGGACTCTGCCCAGGCTACTGCAGCCTGACCCAGCGCCATCCCCATGTGCCCCAGCAGGTCACAGCCCTGCTTCTCAAAACAGAGGCGGAATGCAACAAAATGATCAGGTACAAGAGACTGGTGCTTTCCAGGTTCCTGAAGGGACTTGCGCTGTTAGTTTTCCTAAAAGCAGGTTTTATACACTATTTGATTTTTTACCCTGTGATTTCTCATGCCCCATCAGGAAATGTCACTTGAAGGAACCCGGCTACTCTGCTGGCCTCAGCAGCCCACCAAAATGGAAGACACAAGCCTATCGGATCTGAGCAGCCCACACAAGGACCCTGCTGCTCTGCCACACGCGCTCACACGTGGGTGGAAGGGGAGCACAGAGACTGCCCAGGCTATGACAAAGTCAGGCTGAAGACACTCCAAGGACTGAGACGGATTAAGGGGCAGAAAGCCCCAAGTCAGAGACGAGCCCAGCCCGCCAGCCCCCAAGGCCACTTTCAGTCTCACAAAGTGAAGCCCCTCATGAATCTGCAGGCAGCAAGGGGAAGAGGAGCGCCCAGCTGTGTCTGCTGCCTCTTCCTCGCTTTCGCCCACTCCCCACTGGCCGCTATCAGCAGAAACTCTGCTTCCCAGGGGGCGTGGTGCACCAGGCTTCTCACAGCTTTTTCTTTTTGGGCAATGCTGGCAACAGAACCCAGGGCCAGGCACATCTGAGCAGGGGCTTTACATAGCCACAGCCCAGCACCACCGTGACACAGCCCAGGGCCATCAGTGGTGCACACCCACACACACGTCCAGTGTGCCCCTGTGCAGCCAGGTGCACCAGGGCCAGCTGCGTGGGCTCACAGGCAAGGCCTCTGTTAGAACGCTTCTGCACATTAGAACCCGACGCAGCCGCCAGGAGGCACTGCTCCTGGCTCACCCAATCCCCCTGCCACCAAATCCTGAGTGCACAGAACGGAAGCAGCGCAGGGGGATACAGCCATGCTGGCAGACTTCTGCCTGGGGAAAAGGCCCCTTGGCGAGGGCCCTGTGCACTCTGGTGCTCTCCAAACCTCTCCCCTGCAGAGCGGGCCTGCTAGGCCAGCACAGGACACAGGCTGGACTCCCGTGGCTGCAGGTCACGGCGGCAGCGCTGGAAGCAAAGTGAGCGGCTGGCCTGGCAGATACAGAACGATCCCTGTCTGTGACTTGTTCTCCCAGACCAGGTAAAAGTAGTCTCCATCTGGTTGGGACACACCCAGCGGCGGGGATGAAAGAAGTCTCAGCTCAGAGCTTACGCTGGGCCTGGCTTGATGGCAATGGGCCACATTCTGGGTGACCTGCTCAGCATGGACTCAGGTGGCAGTGTGCTTGGCCCAACGTGGTGAAACTACCCACCATTCGCCATACTGACTGAGAGGGTTTTTCAGGCGCCTGGCACAGCAGAGAAACAAGCAGAAAAAGAAAAAGGGACAGGGGCTTTATCATCTTGGAGGACAGGGAGAGAATCTGGGGAAGATGAGGGATTCTCTGGAGATGGACAAAGGGAGGCTGAGGCTTTCGGGGCCCTTTGCCAGGGGCGGGGTTTGGAGGGGATGTTAGGATATACCTGAGGGAGCTGCCTGGGGTCTTCCCTGAGGCGGCAGGAAGGGTGAAAGGAAACTGCACCCTGGGCTGAGTTGGAGAAGGAGCGGGAGGTGGTCCTGGGGAAGATGGGCTTTTGTTTTAAGGGCTTCAGCCACATCAGATGACCACCATGATGATTCAGCAATTCATACCGGGGCTAGAACCTGTCACTGACCAGACACAGAGATAGCAAGAGGCTGGCAGAACTCCACGGGACTTTCTAGTCATCATGTCACCATCACGCAAGCATCAGCCTGGGGAGGGACAGAGGCGGGATGCAGCACCTACCTGGCAGGGGGCCGGTCCGAGCAGTGACTCGCCCGAGAGCTGGGCCGCTCGGGCTCGGGACAGCGGTAGCTCTCGGAGTATGCTGAGGCGGAGCTGTCGTAGGACCTGTACCGGGGCTCATAGAGGGCGTAAATGTCCTGTGGGAGGAGGACGAGGAATGGGTCAGACCCCGCCCACAGCAGCCACGGGGCAGCGCTCCCTGCACATTCCCAACAGCAGGGCTCCAGCAGGCTTCCTTTACACGCAGGACCCACGGGGTCTGTATGGTGGTGCCCATTTGTCACCCTAGCACTGAGGGGCTGAGATGAGGTGGGACCCTAGACAGGCCATTTAGCCAGCTTCTGTCCCTAAAAAGTGCTGCAGGTGAATCCAGTGTAAATGCCCTGGATTCAATCCCTACGACTACAAAGGAAAAAAACCAAAGCTACCGGGCCACGTCCATGCCAGCGGCCGGGCAGCAGAGCCTGCCCACACTGCCAGCCTGGCCCTGCGGAAGAGGCTTCCTGGGTGGGCCTGGGGGCCACTGTGTGGCAGCGGGGTCCACAGAAGGTACGGGAGGCTTCTGCCAACTGAAAAAGGACAACACGTGTCCTGTCTCGGCTCCTGACGCAGGTAAGCAACAGAACCAGGGGTTGCTTTGAGCAGCTCCCACAGGCCTGGGCAGCCCCCAGAGGACAGTACGGGGCGCATCCAGGGTCTTGATCCCATCCCAAGCCACCAGGCCTCAGCAGCCAGTCTTTATGGAGGGGCTGCATGGAGGCGGAGATCGGAAGAGAAGCAAGTAGTGCAGGTACAGCACCACCTCCGCCCACCACATCTACAGCCACCTTCATGGTACCTGTGGGAAGTCACAGGAAGGGCTGTGGTCTCCCCATGGACTCCACAGGGACAAAAACAAAGGAAGGGGTGCCAGGCTTGGGCTTCCTGGTGAGGGGCCGGGGAGTCTGCAGCTGCGCTCACTCCCTGCCCCTGGGCTCCACCAAGCTGTACACCAACTGCCGAAGAGTCTCAGCTCCTTTAGCACACTAGGTGGCAGGGGCTGCAGGTGCTACGGTTCACACCCATCAGCAAGGGTGCTCCCACCAGGGAGGAGCAAGAGCCCTGGGGCCACCACCAGCGGCTGACACCTGGCTCCTGCAGCCCTCCCCGCGATGCCTGGGGCCAGCTGCCCACAGCCAGGCAGCCCAAGTCAGCCAGCCTGGGCGCTGCCGGCCGGCCGTGGCCCCCAGAGGTGAGGGAAGCAGGTGATGAGGACCGTGTCCCCCTGGACCACACTTTTTCAAAGGACTGTAGGATTAAAGACAAGCTAAATCAAACAGTAGCCAAGAGTTTGCATCACTGCAAGAAAAGGGAGGAAGACCGCAGCCAGGCCTTCCCCTCCTCGGGCTAATGCTCTGCAGCGGAGGGCAGTTAACTCCCATCTCTGGTTGCTTCCATATACGGATCCATTCTCCAGATCTAATCTTTGCCCCTCAGCTTTTTTCTTCAGGAGAAACTCAAATCATTCTGGTTATTCGTGCTGCTTTCTACACGGGTGACGCCACACACAAGCTTCCAGGGGCTAAGCCCACTTTCCAGCACGCACACGGAGCTGTGCTCTGCAGTGATCCAGTGGGTTCCAGGAAACAAGGGAGCTTCTGTTCCCCCTGGAAACATCAGGCTTCACACACAAGGCACCAAGGCTACCAGCAACCCATATGCTAATACTCGGTAGCACCCTTACGAGGGCGCGTGGCAGGCAGGACTTTTCTAGCAGCGCTGTGTGGGTCTGGACCAACAGGTCACTGCCAGGGGACACGCAAGAGAAGCCCAACACTACAGCAAGGCTAAGCAGCAGCGTTCACTCTACCTGGTAAGAGAGGGAGGCCGTCCCAGGGTCTGACGGGTATGGCGCCGGGTACTGAGCTGGGTAGGCATCGTACAGGGGTCTGTAATAGTAGTAGGGTGCCAGGTCCTGTGGCGCTGGGCCGAACGCACTTGACGGTGGCGGCTGCAGCCAGGGCTGCTCTGGCCGAGTCGCTGCCTGGCCTGAGTCGGTGGACATGGCTGATGCGCTGGAGGACTGCGGGGGCCGCGGCAGTGGCTTCTGGCCCGAGGCAGCCGGGGCCAGATTTGCTGGAGGCTGGGCTGAGTCCTGGGGCTGTCCCCGTGTGGAGGGACTGTCTGCCTTTGAAGCTGCTTGGGGAATTTGTGGGGGAGAGGCCCGCGGCTGAGGGGGCACCACCTCTACCTGGGCTCTGAGGCCTCGCTGGTCCAGGTCATCTTCTCTCACCTGCTGGTAGAACAGGCCTGGGTCCCGTACCCCAAGCCCCGACTGTCTGGGGGGACTGGCAGCAGCCTGCGGAGTGGCTGCGCCCTCCAAGTGGGATGGGCTGCACAGTCGTACAGGATCTTCCACAGTTCTGCTCACCGTGAAGTCTGAGGCTCCAGGGGCATCTACCCTGTCACTGGAGTGACTTTCCTTCACGATGCTCGGCACCGAGGTACTGCTTGCAGGGGGCACCAACACCACTCCTGTGCCTCCGGCAGGGCAACTAACAAACTCGGGAAGCTTCTCTGAATTATGAGTCTTCTGCCTTTCTGGAAGCGAGTTCTTAAGAACTGGGAAAGACGGTGGCTGCACAAGCAAATTAGCGGGCTGATTAGAACCCATTGAATCAGAAGAGCTGGACCCCTGTGGAACATTACTCTGGATGACACTGTTAGGTGGAGACAAAACAACTGCAGCACTGGGCACAACCCCGGACAAAGCAGCATGTTCACTGGGATCAGCGCCAAAGGCCCGGCTACTTGAGGTGGATTTGTCCCCCAGCAAAGCATCTCCCCAGGACTGATTCTTCTCGGTCGGATTCAGTAAAGACACAGAAAAATTAATGGGCTGAGCCAAATTATAGCTTTGATCAGGCTGGGCAATCAAGACAGGCTGATTTTGCAAAGCCTCAGTGGGTGGTGAGGACAGTAAACTCACATAACTGGAACTTGCCTGGCACTGAAGGGCTTCGTTGCCACCCACCTTGGGAGGGTTCTCAAGGTTCTCTGAAGCGCTTGGGTGGGCTCGGCTCTGCAAGGGGTGGGCAGGGGCTGGCTGCCGTGACTGCTGCCCAGGCAGCCCCTCTTCCGGAGGCTGAACAACTGCTAGTGGCTGAGGCTTTGCAGGCACATAGAGTGCAGGAGCAGCAGGGGCTAGGAGCACGTTGCCGCCAAAGTCTGGCAGCTCACTCTGTGCCCAGAGGGTTGTAGCAGGACTCTCGCACTTCACGGAGCCCTGAGCCCGGGCTACTGGCCTCTTTTCTGGAGTTTGCCGCACCATATCCAGTGGGGGTGCCACTGTGTGTCCCACTTCTCCAGTGGAGGGAAGAGGCAGAGGGCAGGCTTGGGGTGCAAACAGTGTCTCCATATTGTCTGGTGGCTGCTCGAGGTTGCCAGGGGAGGCATCGGGCGGTGCAGCCACAGGTCTAGGCTTCTTCGTGGGCTCACGGTTGTTCCTCACCTCACCCACCATGTTGGCACGATCCACCTCAACCGGCTTCACGCCAACTGAATGGGATTTTACTGGCTCAAAACAACTGTTTGCACTTGTCTGGAATATCCCTGTAGGTTTCGGTGGGCTCGGGGTGGAGGGCTGAGACAAGGTGCTGTAACAATTCTGACTCCCACTGAGCTCCTCTGAGTCGCCTCCCACAGGAGAAGAATCAATTTGCTTAAAAAAACTGCCCGTTGTTTCCTCCTCTGGCTTCCCCACTTCCTGCTGGATGAATGTACCCACCGGCTCCTGGGACCGGGCTGACCCGGGGAGACTCCAGGGGCTCTGGCTGCCGTCAGATCGCGTGTCTGGGGCCCCCAGGCTCAGCGCCCCACCTCGTGTGAGGCCCGCGGTACCATGCCTGGAGACGGGTGGCCCAGGCAGGAGTCCATACTGGAGCTGATCACTCTGGCAGGAAGCACCCAAGCTTCGGGGCTCGACCGGCAGAACTTCTTGATTCTGAATGAATTCTAAGTTTTCAACATTCTCATACTGTGAGCTGCTAGCATCAAGAGGCCCTGCGCTGGCCGTGTCACCCCAAGTGTCGCTAGCAGCACTCTTAGTGGTCTGTTTCTCATTTTGGATACCCGCAGACTGAGGGAAGTAAGGCTGTGTGCCTCCTTCCTGCTGCACAGGCTCACTGAGGGAGGAGCCCTGGAGAAGAAAGGCCTGGTGGGCGAGGCCAGCTCCAGGTGCCGGGCGGAGGGGACGGCCCAGTCCGGGGCTGGAGGAGAAACCATCCAAGTCCGGGCAGCCAGCGGACCCTGCCTTTTCAGATGAGAGATTCTCCTCATTTTCTGTCTCTTCCCCTTGGAAAAACATGGAGAGTGCTCCTGAGGCTGCTTCTCCTGGAGCTCGGCTGGTCCCAGCCCCTGACGAGTAGTGGATGTGGTTTTCAGGACTATTTCCCTGAGTGACAGGGTTCCCAGGGGCAGGGTCCCGGAAATGCTCTTTCACTCCCGGACTCACTCCTGGATTCTGTCTGAACTCCTGGCTTTCCCACATATTCCCAATCTGGGGATTGTGCCCAAATGAATTTTCGGTGTGGAAGTTACCTCCTGAGTGGTTTCCACTTTGCAAGGGGGCCGCCTCGCTTCCTCTGCCACTGGCTAAAGGGGCCAGCAGAGACACTAGTTGGGCATGGGACTCGCAGCCAGGACCACGGTGCAGGCTCAAGGGGGCAGGCAAGTAGGGAGTACTGGTGGCCTGCGGTCCCATGCTCTGGACTGGTCCTTCTGGGCCAGGAGGGGGATATTGCTGGGAGGGCTGGGGACCGCCCTGCACTGGCCCCCACTGCGCTGGCATCTGTGACTGAGGCTGGGGGAAGAATGGGGACGTTGCTGATGCAGCCAGGGCTACTGCACCATCGCCCGGGGTGGGCCCAGGCCCACTCCCCCGCCGATGGCCCCCGAAAGACTGGTCAGGACCTCCTCCTGGAATGTAGTGGGGCGCATGAAGTGGAGCAGTCAGCATTTCAGGCCCCAAGCTGGAAGTGACTTCGGCACTCCTGGGCATCTCCCGCCCCGGCAGCGATGGAGGGACCGACACGCCAGGAAACGGCTCTGAGCTGGGCTGTGACAGAGGTCCTGCCAGAGGCTCCTGGGGTCCTTGGGCACCATCCCCTGCGCTGGCACGAGGCACAGGTAAACCAGGCCACTGAGAAAACACGGGCAGGGCTGGGTCATTCCTGGCGGGCAGGCTGCTCGTGGACGAGGTATCCAGAGGGGTGTTTTGCAGCATCTGTCTACTGAAAGCGAACGGATCCGTGACTGGCTGCAGCGGACAAGGTGGAGCTGCCAGGGCACTGCTACCGGCTGGCTTCCGGTAGCCACCACTACCCCAGAACACGCTCCGAGGAGTCCCGGCCGGAGGGGGTCCAGCCACACCAGGTGGGACCGTCTGGGGTGGCGGCTGCATGGTGCGTCTCTTACACAGGAGGTGCTGCTTACAGAGGAGGCGGGTAAAAGCCCTTCCTTAAGATGAGCTGGAAAAGAAATAGAAACAAATGAAAATGAAATCCCTACATTTAAAGTATTGATTATAATCAAGAAAACTATGAAAAAAAGAGAAAAATTAGGGCTATACCTCAGAGGTACAGCATTTCTCTAGTCTGATCCCCAGGACTGCCAAAAAAGAGATGAAGATGCAAGGCCTGCACATGACCTGAAGTTATTTATTTGGGAGTAGAGGTACCAGGAATCAAACTCAGGATCTTGTGCTTGCCAGGCAGGTGCTGTGCCGCTGAGCTATAACCTCGACCCTCTGAAGTCAAATAAATCCTGAGGACAACTTTGGTCCCTGGCTCCAACCCAGCAGAGAACATTCACTCGTGGGAGCTGCTCTGGGGACTCTGGAGGGAATAGATGCAGGAAGACTCTGCTGGCTTGGCCACCAGCTGGTTAAGTTCAGGCAGCCCTCTCCCTTCTGAAATCCCCTCTGCACCTTGCCCACTGCCTCCGACACCCCTTACCATTGAGGTAGGTGTGAGGTACAAGGTGGCCGCCTCCTGCCATCCCCCAGAAAATGGTGGTTAATTCTTGATATTCCCCCACAAAGCACTGCTAGACCCAGCGAGAAGCAATTCCATTATAAAGAAAGAAACACCACCTATCCTACTTTTCAGGTATGCTAATTTTCAATCTGGAAAACAAGACTGAACTTTGTTCTTTCCGCATCTTTAATGAAAAAACATTACACAGCACACAGAGATAAAAGCTACTTTTTTTTTTAGGTCCCTGTATAAAATGTCTCACTTCTTATACAGTGACTAGTTTCCTCTGAAAAAGCTGCAACAAGGTTGCCTGTGACCCTAGAAATTGTAACTCAGCATGACGAGAAATTGTAAGGAAATTTACAGCAGATTCACAGGGGCAGACTGAATTCACAAACTTCCCACAAAAAGAGCTCAGACAGCTTCTGGGAAATCAACCAGCAAAATCCTCACCACGACAGTGTCTTCTGTTGTTGTTTGATTTTGAGTAAAACACAGTAAATACAATCTGAACTAGCTAACCTGCCCTTTCAAGGCAAAAATTCAAGTTCTGCATCTTTAAAGTCCTTATCTTTGCATCAGCGTATCTCCCCACATCTGTTCAGTTAATTCAAAAGAAAAACTGAAGAGAACTCTTGGGAGGCCTTTGGAATTAAACTCACACCTCTCTTAATTCCCAGTCTTTCTGATAAAAATAAAACACTGATATTTGTATTATTTTTTTAAAAAAAATCTATAAATAAATTTCTAATCCCTTCCTGAAAACTAGTCCTATCAATCCTTTAATTCCCAGGTGCGATGGGGCACCCCTTATGATCCCAGCTAGTTACAGAGGCTGAGGCAGGAGGGCCACAGGTTCAAAGCAAGCTAGGGGAACTTGTCTCAAAATAAACAAGGGTTATTGCTCAGTGGTACAGTGCTTGAGTTTGATACCCAGTAGCTCCAAGAAATTTTTAAAAATCCCTTAATACTGCCTGTGTGGTCAACATGGGACCCTCTCCACCTGCAGGCTCACTGAAAATCCGCTCAAGTTCAGTGCACCCTACTCCAGTCACCAGCACACTCACCCGTTCTGAGCTGTCATATGAACACAACACCTACAGCTTCACTTTCGGGGGCCACTTCCCGGTAGGCCGCTCCATTTCCACGCTGCAGCACCATGCACACAGCAAGTCCACCCACCAACAGCAGCACGTGGACCCCATAGCCCTTCTGAACCCCTTCATTTCTTTATCTAAAAGACTTAAATAAGATACAAAACACAGACCTAGACAGTCACTTTCTCAGAAATTACTCTGACAGTGAGACTGAGTGCTCAGCTGAGCAGCTCAGGAAGGCCACTTCTCCTCTGGGACACACTAGACGGAGATGCACGGAAACTCCATCCATAAAGTGAGATGATGACCCTTTTCCTAAGGTCACCGCTGGGTTGAATCCTACAAGCAGGGGTGGGAACACAGGTCAGCGGACAGTGCCTGTCTGGCACGCCCAAGGTCCTGAGGATTTTTTGTTTTGTTTTAAGGCAGGGTCTTCTTACGCAGTTCAGCTCTCTCTGTAGCCCAGGCTGATCTCAAACTTACAAGGATCCTCCTGCCTCAGCCTGCTGGGGTTACAGGCATGTGGCTTCATGCCCAGCCACAAGGTCCTGAGCTGGATTCCCAGTGAGGGGTGGGAGGGATAAGCCCAATCTTAGACCTAAATGTTTTCCTTGCAGAAACTTAATACTACTTTCTCAACTCTACTAGACTAAGACCTTTTTGTTTTGTTAAGATCTTTATCCATGTGTTACTGAGTCTCACTATGCAGCTCAAACTTGTAGTGATCCTCCTGTCTCAGCATCCCCAGCACTGGGATTACAGGCACGCACCACCATGCTATTTCGCTGGCTGGCATGGTGTACCTGGGGTTCTGGAGCTGTCATGGCATGCAGTATCGGGGATCAAACCCAGGTCCTTGAGCTTGCCAGGAGGTGCCTAGACTGCTGAGCCCCCCCATCCTAAGACCTGATTCATAAGCAAACACTCCCACCTAGCGAGAAGCCCCCCAGCCCTCAAACTGTGACAGACATCTCTCCAGCAAGAATGCCGGTTTCACCTGGAACAAACTTAGGCCTTGAACGTTACTCTTTTCATCTTCCTCTCTGCTCACCAGCAGGAAAACAAGGAAATGCCTATCACTTAAATTCAGCACATTTACTCTATTCGGCAAGTCAGCTAGTCCAACAGGCACCTGTTCTGGAGACCAGCTGGTCGCCTTTAACATGCGCTATTCACAAACCCAGCTCTTTAGCTCACTTGCCCTGTGCCTTAGGAGTACTCACCCAAGGCCACGCGCAGCAGGACTACAGGACTGCGCATTTAAAACACACACCTCCCCTTCCTCCTCCTCCTCCACCACTTCCATACCTCTTCCTCACTGCCCCTGCCCTCCAGTTCTGTGTGCAAACCCAAAGGAGCACCAAGAAACAGCTAGTCTCTGATTACAATCTCCCTCACAGCTAGTGACCCCCATCAGACTACAGACACAAGACACAGGCGCCATCGTCCCAGCTAGAACTGGAAGCTGACACTCAGGTGTTGAAGAAGGGGAGGAGCCGAAACACTGCTAGAAGGGACAGACCTCCGAGAACGCTCACACTCATGAAGAACGTTCACAGAGGCAGAATGGGATCGTAGTACGGCGCACCCAAAGCCGCAGAGAAAATTTCTCAGACAACAGGAAGGTCCACTGCTACGCGGGGTAAGAGTCACAGGAAGAAGAACGAATCACTACCTCGCCTCATTTCTTTGCAAGACTCCATCAGCACTGAAACCCTGCAGGTTTAGGGACCAGATCTGCAGCAGGCTGCATTATCCTGAAGCTTCAAAAAATACCACGCAGAAACTGCCCCGCGGCTCCGCCGCGTCTTGCTACACAGCACAGGGGTCCGGCTAACACCTGCGCCCTACAGACGGGAATCTTGCTAAGCAATCCATCCGCAATTCTACCAGCCATGTAGGGGCTTTTGAAGCGCAAAAGTAAAAGCTGACTCCAAGCGGCTTAGCACGTCCGGAAGCGCCGCCGTAACCTCTGCATTCCTCCACCTCTGATGGAGAGCACCGTCCTCGACCTCCCTTGCGACATCCTGGCCACCCTGCCAAGAGATTACGAATAACTATATGGCTGCTCCTCGGTGCAAACGTCGCTGAGCCCACAGCGCTGAAGAAAGTCTTCCGGCCAGGGAACACCAAACACCTTCAGAACCTCTGACACGCAAAAACGCGCCCAACCGCCAGAAACTTCCCGGGGGTCCCTCCGTGCTCAGCGAGGCTCTGAGCACCGGCCGGGCCCTGACACCTCTGAGCGACCGGTCGCCCGCGGCGGCGACCGCACGCCCTCCGCACCTCGAGGGCGCAGGCCACCGCGCCGGCCGGGCCGCGCCC